CCCCTGGGGGGGGGGGGTTGGGGTCAGAGGGAGGCAGAGACCCTGTTTCACCCTGTGCCTCTGCTTCTCGTCCCCTCACTGGGCCTCGGGACCCGGAGGCATCCTGGTCCCACTCAGCTTCTCGCCCCCTTACCTCACTGAGCTTGTTCTCCTCGGTGTCTGACTCCTCCTCCTCCTCCGTCTCTCCCTCTGTGTCCGTGTGGTCCTCGTGGTCCTCCTCCTGGGCGGCCGTGAGGCTGTGCAGCCAGGGCGCCCGCGCCTCACTCTCCCGCCGGGACACCACCTGCATGGCCGCGGACGCGCCCCACTGGGCCAGACTGCTCTGAGGGACGGAAGGCCGAGGGCTGCTGGATTCAGGGGCAGACCCCCTCGCCCCCAGGGTCAGGCCCCAGCAGACTGTTCCTAAAACTTGTCATTGAGGGATAACTTCCATACGTGGAGTGCGCACATCGTTCATGTGCAGCTCTGTGAGGTTTCCTGGGCACACGCCTGTGTAACTACCACAGATCAAGACACAGACCCCTTTCAACCCCCCAGTCTCCCTGTGCCACCCACGCAGGCGGGTGGGTAGCACAGGGGGACCACATTTTGACCTCTACCACCATGCCTTGGTTTTGCCCATTTTTGAACCTCATATAAATGGACTCATCCAATGTGTTTTCTTTCACGAATGGCTTTTTATTCAACATCATGTTGTGAGATTCGTCTGTGCTCTTGCGCGTTCAAAATAGCTCCTTCTCTTCCCTGTGACAAGTCCATGTACGCATGCCATAATTTACACATTCTGCTGTTGATGGACGTCTGTGCTGTTTCCAGTTCTTGGCTAAGGATAAAGCCTGATAGGAACATTTCGATGTGTCTTTTGGGGGACATAAGCTCTCGTTGCTGGTGGGTCGAATCGATGGGTCTTAGGGGGTATGTGTGTTTAGCTTTAGCAGCTACTGCTTGGAGATCTTTAAAGAGTGAAGAAATCAACAGGGCCACAGTGTCCCATGGGCGGAAACAGACTTGGGCAGGTGGGCTAGTGTCCCCTTGAGGCACAGCTTGGCTCACTCTGGACCCTAGGGAGCTCCACAAACATTTATTATTCAACTCCAGGGGACACCGGTATGTCTTACGTGAACAGGGTGCCCGAGGTTGCACGGTACGGTAGGGTCTCCCGACTGCACATAAGGCTGGCACACGGGTCCGTCTCAGCCCCCACTGGGAAATGACCCCCCAGTACAGGGGACAGAAGGGAACTACCAGTCCTGTATCCCTACTGGAGCCACAGAAGCTGGCGCACAGCACGTTCTCAGCAAACATTAGCTTGAATGGATGACCCAGGGCTGATGAGCTTTTAAAAGTGTCACCCAAATGATGGCTCAGAAATGGCTCTTTTGTTTGCTGACCTTTATGCTGTAATGTTGTTTGTGTTTCCTTTATTTTCCTCTATTTGGTCTTTGTTTCTTACAAAAAAATGCAGTCTATCTCTGCTAAAATACACAGAGGTGGAGGGGGGTATGGTGGGGAGATAGCCCTACGTGCACCTAGAAAAGGAGGCTTTGCCTTAGGGGCAAGTAGAATGCAAATGAGAAGCCTCTGGAAAGGAAATTTTGAAATCTGGGGCGGTCAGGGTTGCAGCCTGGCCAGGGCTCTCTCCCCAACGGAAGGAGCTTGGGGCCTGGATTATTTACAGGGGACACTCCCTAGTGTCTGGATAGCAGCCGGGGGCCTCTGCTCCCTCATAGGCAGGAGGGCCCACAGCAGGAGGCCCCCTAGGAGGATGAATTTGGGGGGCGGGACTCAGAGGGACAGGGAGAGACACCCTAGCAAGGCAGGCTTGCCCTTGGTTCATGTCCTGTCCTTTCTTTCCCCTTGCAGCCAGAGGACCGGCCCTCAACCGCCTTAAGGCCTCTTGTCCTTAGACCAAAAGTCCCAGGCCAGGCTGGAGGAGGGAATGTTCTTAGGACCAGAGGTGGAGTCGGGTGGGAGGGACCCAGGCTGGGGGTCAGCCAGATCAGGGCAGACACTCACCAGGGGCGCCACACCTGGGATCCACATGGCCAGGGCGTGGCCCTGCTTCAGCGCACGGGCTGTGGTCTGGAAGGTGTGTTGGGACAGGGTGTTGGCCAGGGCCCCAACCCTGCTCAGGAGGCTCGGCTTGCCTTTGGGAGGCTTCTGGGCCTGCTCGTGTCCTGCGGCAGGGGCTGGGTTGGATTTGGGGGTAAAAGAGAGGAAAGCTGATCAGAGACAGGCTAGGGAAGCTGGGCCTCTGTCTAGGGTTGGAAAGCGGTCACCCTGGTTCCACCACAAGTCTGCTAGTGACTCGGGTCACTCACTTGCCCCACTTACAAATGGGGAGAGGAGGCTATATTAGGATGGCTCCATCTAAGTATCTCGCCGGACCTTCCCTGTTCCAGAGCAGTGGCTGGGTGAGTCCCGGCTGCCTGTTGCTAATTCCCAGGCAGCATGGGTAGGCACCTCCCTTCCCAGGGGGGTGGGGGTGGGGAGGTCTGCCAGCCCCCCTAACGATAGATACCTGACTCTTCCTTGGCGGAAGGGAGGAGGTACTCTACCACCTTCTCGACACCACCCAGGGCCAGGTCGGCCCCTCCAGAGGCCAGCCGGCCGGCTCGGGTGTTAGCAGCATACTCAGCAGTGTCTTTGGCCACCCCCCAGGCGAGCTCGCAGCTGGCCAGAGCGGCCCCCAGGACCTTGTCCGAAGTGCTGGCAATGGGAACGCTGATGCTATTCCTGGCACTGCGAAGGCGGGTTGAGATGGTGTCCTTCAGCTCAGAGGCGATCTGTGGGAAAGGGGGAGGGGGTGTCAGGCCTGTGGGTCCGGTAGCCCTGAGCCCAGCTCCCAGGAAGGCCTCAATTAAAGGCCCAAGCGAGGGGCGCCTGACTGGCTTAGTCGATAGAGCATCTGACTCTTGATGTCAAGCTTGTGAGTTCAAACCCCACGCTGGGCGTTGAGCTTACTTAAAAAAGAAAATAAAGGCCCCGGGGACTGGCACCAATATCTGGGCCTCTTGATTACGCTGGGCTTTAAAGGGGGAAGAGCTCCAGTTCTCCCTGTGCATGGATCTCCTGGCTGCTTCGCACCCCACTTCCGCCTATCAAGATCCTCACCATCCTTCCCCCACAGAGGCCACCTCCTTGATGACACCCGTCTTGAGATTCTCATGTACACAAGGCACCTCCACTCCCAAACTCCTTTAATGCCTTCTCTGTTCTTCCCTCAGAACACCGCTCACATTCCCACCTGTGTTTATATTGACTCAGAGATGTGGCTGTTCACCCTACCAGTTCTGTACCAAAATAATTGATCTTTCTCTCCTATCAGCCTGGGAGCCCTTTTGTGACAAAGGTGCCCTTTATCCGGAAAGATGTGAAGAGCACAGGCCTCCGAGCCAAGCAGACCCGCTCTCACGTGGCCTCCACTTACGGCTGTGCGGCCAGGGAAAAGTCACTAGCTTTCTCATCTGTGAAATGGGGATCCCTGCCCTGTCCCAGAGGGCTGACAAGAGGATTAAATGGGAGGGCTCCACAAATCGCATCACGGCCCCTGGCACAGGGTAGGGCTTAGGAAATCGGTGTGGGATGTGTAGATGGTTGGTCAGTGGGAGGGAGCTTATCCCCAAAGCCCTTACCTAGCAAACGCCCAATGCACGTGTATCTAGGTAAAGTGACCTTTTCAGTCTCATGGTCCATAAAGGGCTGGATCTTGAGGACATGGGAGTGCAGTCCCGGGATCTGATGAGTGTGGCCCAGGATGTTAGGGGACTATAGTTAGCAAGTGGCCCAGTGTGGGCCCACCAGGTGTCGTGGGGCAGGGCAGGGGGGGTGGTGGGATCTGAAGCAGTGAGACCCGCCCCAAGCTCCTGTTTGAGTTTGCCCCTGGGCGGGGCCTACTTTCCAGAAAGGCTGCCTTCATTTGGCACCACAGGGAGAGGAGGAAGCCTGCTGTGTGGACTTAGGAGCCGGCAGCCACCCCCAAGCTGGAAGGGCGCCTACCACAGAAATGAAAGACTGACAGTCATGGATCGTCAGCCTGCGCCCTCTCCTCCTGAGCGGCGGGACAACGGAACACGGGGCACATTCCGGAAGAGGAAAGGGGCTCACCTTTTCAGGAGGGTACTGGAGGGCTGGGATCTTTTCCTCCAGGTGGTCCAGGCCTCGGCAGGCCAGCTCGTTGGCCGCTGTGACTGGAAGTGAAGGGCCATGGTGGGGTAAGCTGTGAGAACCTAGCAGTGGCCTCCGTGCCAGGGAAGGTGCCTCAGAGCCTTCAAAACCCCCAGCCCTGCTGCCTCCAGCGCATCTGGGAACCTGGGGCTCCCCTGCAGCCCCTCCAGTCCGCGGTAACTCCTGGAGGCCAGGCCCATGTCTTCCCTCTGTGTAGGAACTCTGGAGTCAGGCAGGTCTGCACTCAAAGCCCAGAGTCTGCACCTGCAAAGTGTGGCCTCAGGGGAGTCACAACCTGCCCGAGCCTCCGGTTCCTCATTCGTAAGACGTGGGTTAATGGATCCTACCTTGCAGGAGGAACTGGCAGAAACTCTGTGAATCACCAACAAATACTGGGCTCTCCCTCCCTGCCCTCCCTCCCCTCTCTGGGTGAACTCTGGGTGGGCACGAAGGAGGAGAGTGAAGGCGTGTGAGCAGGGGCAGCAGGGCCCTCCGGGGGCCTTGGTGGGAATAGGGCGGGCACAGCTTAGTTCTGGAGGTGACTGACTCCTAGCCACGGCCAGCCCAGGCCCCAGATGGTCCTTGCCCTTCCTTCTGACCTCTAGGAGGAAGATGATCAGCAGCGGGAAGAGGGTCACAGGGAAGAGAAAGGAATTGTCCCTAGATAGCAGGGCAAGTCCCAGAGGACGCAAATGCTTCTAGATTACTGCCCAGGGGCTGCCGAAGATGTAGCCCTGCAGTCGTGACCATGGAGATGGGTTCTATATTCTCTCACATAATCTTTCACATATGCTTTCTCCAGATAGGTGACATTTCTTCACAAAATTCTCAAGCAGCAGAGAACCCAGATGACTTGGCCATCTTCTGATTGGGCGAAATGAGACCCAGGGAAATTATCTGAAGAGTTTGTAGGCAGGGAGGCTGCTGGCCCAGGGCAGAATCCTCAGACACCCATAATTCTCTAATCAGGATGGTGGAAGGTCCTAGACTTCTTGGTGCTGCTGGGATTTCCCTCAGCCCTGTCAAGAGCCCTGCCTTGGATGTTGTGATGAGCAGCGGGTGATGTATGGAATTAGTGAATCACTATATTGTACACCTGAAACTAACATAACACTGTATGTTAACCATGCTGGAATAAAAAGAGAGAGCGAGAGAGAGCGAGAGAGAGAGAGAGAGCGCCTTGCTTTGGAGACTGTATTTACAAATAAGGCAGGAAAATTTGAACAGGGGGGGTCTGATAGCAGGGGCCACATGGACTGTCACCGGCTGGTCCCATCAGCTCCTGGGCCTGGAGAGCTTCCTGTGCCCCCGCTCCCCAGGCCCTGCCGGGCCAGCCCTAGCACCTAGGGACCCTGCCTGTGTGTCAGACTCTACGAGTTCCTGCTGCCGCCAGATTTGGGGCCAAACTGGGTGTCTGGTCTACCACAGGCTTCACTCCCACCACTGCCCACACGGCTCTGCCCATTCCCTCCCCTGCCAACTCTCTGGCCTATCATGTGATCCCAGGAAAATGCCAACTTGGCAATAGACGAGACACGTAAGGATGGGAAGGGATGTATGTCCATATCTGTAGCTGTATCTACGTCTGCATGATCTGTGTAATGGGATGTAGGTGGTTAGAAAGGCGGTCAGACAGACAAGAAGGTGCACAGACATATCAGCAGACGGACAAGCGAGCTGTCGGACAGACTGACGGATGGTGGCCTGCAAGGGCCACGAAGACTCACACTGGGTGGACAGCCTGCGGACCACGGGCTCCATGCTCCAGGCCGCCAGGCTGCTGGCGCCCTGCACACCCTTCTCGTAGGCATTGCACACAGAGGCCACCAGGGGGTAGGCTTCCTTGGTGCTGGTGTAGGTCTTCTGGAAGCACTCGCAAGTGCCGCTCACCACCGGCAGCTGCAGGACCCGTTGCAGGACGTTCTCCTGCTCCTGGAAGAAGAGAAGGCAATCGAGTTGTCCCTCTGCCCTCTCGTGCCTCTCGGGAAGGCAGCCCAGGGTCACGGCGCCCACCGGTGAGGCTAGCCGGGGTCCAAGCGACCCAGGAGGAACCCGGGCCAGAGGGGGAACACAAGAGCCAGGCTGGTCCGCTCTCCTGGCCACAATCCAGGCTCTGGAGAGCTGCTGGGACGTGGCCTCCCGGCCTCCGCATGCCAGTCCTCCCCTTGGGCACTCTCCCCCTGCCCTCCCATGCCCCTTTCTGTCGGGCAAAATGCCACTCCCTCAAGACATGGCCTGAGGCTCACTGGTTCTGTGAGCCTTCTGACCCTCTTCCATCACGTCAGAAGCTTCCACTCCCTCCTGGCTTGTCTCCACACGCATCACATGGTGCTGCGATCATGTGTGTACCTGTCTCTCTCCCGGCCAACTGTCCTCTTTGCATCTCCAGTGCCTAGCTTAAAACCTGCGCGGTAATGTTGGCTGAATAAATGAATCAGCCGGGGCTATACCTAGAAGGGGTGAGTTTAGATCGGAATCACGGAAGTTCAGATCTCCGGGAGCTTCTGCAGCAAAAATGCCTTCTTCCCATAGCCTCTCTGGCAGACTTGTATCTAGATGTCTCCTTGGATGGGTCTTGCCCCTCCTACAGTGGCCGTGGCCCTTGTTGGACAGCCAGTGCTGAGCTACAATGTGCCTTCACCCACCGCTCCACCCTCTGTCCTCTGGAACAACATTGAGCAAACCTATTTCATCATTCATGGGCTGACCCTTCACATATTTGAAGGCAATATATATGTCTGCCTTTAGTGGTCCCTCCTCTGTGCTCAATAGCTCCGGATCCTAACTTAGCTTACCACCCTGGTCTGCTGGTCCCCTCTGGACCTGCTACAGTTTAGTGCTGCTTTCCTTCAGTATATGCACTCACACTTGAAGACAGCATTCCAGATGTGGTCTGAGCACATGGGGTATAGTGAAACCATCACTTCTTGTTATCGGGGAGCCATGTTCTTACTAATGCGTTTCACCTACGCAGCAGTCACCTACACCGAATTAAACTGGAGGTCGCCTGGGACTCTCAGTGAACAGACACAGGTGTTTGAAAGAATGTGGACTCCAGCCATGCACAAGGGAACGTCTCCTCAGTGCCATTATACCCCAGGCACGTATCAGGGTGCTTTGGTGACAAGACCTCACTGAATTCTAACAGCGACCCTCTGAGGTCTAGCACTTTGCCTGCGGGGACACAAACACTCAAAGATGTGAAGTGACTTACCCGAGATCACACAGCTAGTAAGTGGCAGAATCAGGATTGCAACTGAGGCCTGAAATGGCCTGTGATTTGCTTCAAAATATCGCAAGGCGGAGGAGTGAGTGAGCGTGTGGATGAGGCCAGACCGGCCACGGGACTGATAAGCGGCCGTGGCAGCTAGTGAGGGGTATTCTCTGCTTCTGTCCGCTCGCAGGAATGCTCAGAAACCGCCACATAGGAAGTGAAAAGAGAAAGCTCCCCCGTCTGATTCAGGCGCAGGGGCTCTCTCTGAAGTCGGGATGTGTCCCTGTTACAGGATTCTGCTCTGGAGGAGAGGACCTGGCCTCTCTATTTGTAGGCTGAGGTAGAAGACCCATCAAGGAGACTCGGAACAGCAGGCCGTGCACGGCATTTTAGCTTTCATTTTGCAGGCGAGTTTGAAATTTGAACTAGACAAAGATTATGACTGCAAACGAGAATATTTTAATACTTGGACAGACTCTTCGGAGGTTGTTGTAGGCAGAGCCAAAGAGGGTCAATCCCGACCCTATGCACTTGTTCATTTTATGCCTCTGTATTCTAGGATTTATTTATTTATTTACTTACTTACTTACTTATTTATTTATTTATTTATTTATTTATTTATTTAACACCCACTCGTTTTGCAGAGACAGAGAG